AGAGAGAGAGATCACAAGTAGGCAGAGAGGCAAGCAGAGAGAGAGGGAGAAGCAGGCTCAGCGCTGAGCAGAGAGCCTGATGCAGGGCTCGATCCCAGGACCCTGAGATCATGACCTGAGCCGAAGGCAGAGGCTTAACCCTCTGAGCCACCCAGGTGCCCCACCTTATTTTGGTTTTTGAGACTGAGGCTTCTCTTTTTTTTCTTAGTTGATGTAATTACAGCATTGTCAATTTCAGGGTGTTTTGTTTTTTGTTTGTTGCGTCTTTTTTGGAAAAACTGGTCATTACTTTCAATATTGTGTTATTGCTTATTCTGGTCTCTATTTTATTTATTTCTGATTTTTCTTTGTTATTTCCTTTCTCTACTAAATTTCAGCCAAGTTTCTTTTTTTTCTAGTTCCTTGTGGTATAATATTGTATATTTGAACTTGTTTTCTTAATATAAGCATTTATAGCATAAAAAATCATAATTTAAATAAAGAAAATGAATAAACAGATAGTAGGTAAATGCAAAGTGAGAGTGGCTCTATTAATATGTACATGTTGCTCTTAAAATTGAAATCATTAAACAGATAAAGAAAGACATTCTATGTATATAATAAAGATATATAAAGAATATTTAAGAATTGTAAGTTCATACTCATAAAAATAGAAGCTAAACATTTACCATGATAAGTTTTATGGTTTCAGTTTTTTTGGACAAGAACTTAAGGACCACAAATAATGCAAAGTAATTTATGAACTGGTCTTTTCACCACCCTATCTAAACTACTTCTGCCATCACTTCCACCCAAGGCCAGTTAATCTATAACATATCATCCTGTTCACTTAGTTTATAAAATGTACCAAAATTTTACACTGTCTTGTTTATTTGTGTGTTTACTTATTTATTGTGCTCCTGCCATTAGTATGTAAGCTCCCCAAGGGCAGTGATCTTATCTATTTAGTGCACCATTATATCCCTCACTCTGAAAATAATGCCAACGACACAGTAATATTTCCTGAATTAATTAATCAGTTAATACCTTTCATGTTCCACCATTTCAGAAACAGATGGATTTTTGGGAAAAAATTCTCTTAGAGTTTCATTTCTTTTACTTCTTCTCCTTGGCAACAGTTCTACGGTCTTAATATGAGAGATGACAAAAATGTTACAAATTAAAGCTAAACTCTAAACATAATATTATAATTTACTCATATTCTAATGCTTATCTCTTGACATTGAAATACAGTGATTTCTTTATACCACTCAATTAAAATTACTATCAAAAGAAACAAGAAAATATGATTATAAAAATAGCCATGTGATAACTTAAGAATTATAATGTACTGGGACACCTGGGTGGCCCAGTCAGTTAAGTGTCCAACTCTTAATTTGGGTTCAGATTATGATCTCAAAGTTGTTAAGATCAAGCCCCAAGTCAGGCTCAAAGTGTAGCCTGCTTAAGTAAGATTCTCTCTCTCCCTCTGCTCCTCCTCCCTCCCACTTATACACGCATGCCAGCGCTCTCTTTTTCTCTCTCTCTCAAAAAAAAAGTAAAGAAAAAGAATTATAATGTACTGTATAATAATAAAATTATTTGTTGATATTTCCTTGTTTCATATTATAATAAATTATAATGTAGCTAATCATCTTTAGATATGTGAATCTCTTATTTCATTAACTTAAAATTCAAAACTCATAAGAAACTTACTCTTCCAATTTCCATTACTGCAGCTTTGAACTTCTTCAAAGATTTGGTTGTCTTTTTACACAGAACATTATCCTTATATTTCGTTTTTCTTATTCCAAGTAGGGACTCATTCCTCCTGATATAAAAAGACAAAGTCAGTTAAAAGGATCTGTAAGAATTTGCAAAACTATACCAAAACAATAAATCTTTAATGAATGTTGTCACTGAAATTATAAAAGAAGAATATCTAAAATTGTTTGTGCCTCATGCATAAATTAGATTGTGATATTCCTGAACATCAAGGAAGAGCTAGCCTCTTGAAAGAACAAAATGTAAATCATACCACAAGATGTGATGACAGCTGATGTGTGACATAGGAAAAACAGAACTGGATTGAAAATAAAACAACATGAATATGTTCCTTCAAAACAGAAAAGATAATGATGTAAGAGTGACCTTGGACAAGCTATCTTGCTTGCAACAGATTTCAGTCTCTTTGGTTCCATAATGTCCAGGCTCCTAGCCACTATTACTTTCTGGATACCAACAGGTCCTAAGCATTTTATCTGACTACAGAAACTTTTCTCTTCCCCTAATCATTTATTGAAGTTCTTAATCTCATTTTTTTCAATCTGCCATGGACCCCTATGATAATTCTTCAAATACTGTTAAATCTCTTATTATCTCTCCTTCTACTCATACTTATTTTCCCTGCAACTTATATATTTTCTAAAAATTATATTTCTTTGAGTAAGTTTTTGCTAATTCCAGCAAAATCCTGCTATAATTGGGGGTGCCCGGGTGGCTCAGCTGGTTAAGTGGCTAGGAGCTTGGACAAGTCAGTTAAGCAACCAACTCTCAGTTTGGGATCAGGTCATGATCTCACGGTCCTGGGATTGAGCACCAAGTCAGCACAGAGTCAAATTGTCCCTCTCCCTCCCTCCCGTTCTTCCCTCCACATGCATTCTCATTCTCAAGTAAATAAATAAGATCTTAAAAAAAAAAAAAAAAAAAAAAAACCTCCTATCACATGATAACTGGGGTCCAAAACTTTAAAGGGAATAAAATGTAGGGTCACATCAATAGAAGGCTAATGAAATGACTGGGTGAGTTGGGATAGCTAGTTACATGGTTTAGGGTTCCAAATCTATCTTAGTCTTCAATTTTGATGATGATCATCCTGGATCCTGGGGTTGGTTAGGACTCCAGAGCAGCTGCAGCAATTCCAAGTGTCCCCCAGCTAATTAGCATTCATTTCGGCAAATGTTTATTCTGCCTGAACTAAGAAGCTTAGACCAGTGACCACGGGGAGATGGGGATCCAACCTCTGCAACTTGCACTGCATTTCCTAAGCAGGTTGGTCACTTCCCTACCTGAATCTCCCACCCCCCAGAAAGCTGGTTGCTGTTATTGCAGAAAGAGATGCAAAGGAGAGGAGGTCACAAATAAACAATTGCCATCCTGCTATCTTCTCAACATTCACTTCCATGCTTTGAAGAACTTTCACGCCTTGAACAATTAAACTCCTCCACTTCTCAACCTCTTCACAGAATGCTTCCTCCTAGCTTTTTATTTTGTTTATGGCATGTTATGAAAAATGGTATTTGAAAATTTCTATGTAGTCAATGCTATCGATCTTTGATTTCATGGCTTAGTCATTGTGTTGATTACTTATATTACTACCTGTTTCTAACGTGAAACTTTGAATCCCAATAGCTGTCTACCTGTTATTTCACAAACAGAACTCTGTTACACTTTATCTAATAATACAAATCTCTTCTGCTCTTTCATTTTTTGAATATTTTTTTATTATTCTACACAATTCCATAAAGCTAACATGATTGGAATTACATTAAATCAACAAATTAATTTGAAGATAATAGAAATTACAGTAGTCCATCTGCCCATCAAGAAATGCACTATATCCCCATTTATCCAAGTCATTTAAAAAATATCTCTTAGTAAAAATGTTTGGTCTTCTTTTATTAGCCTAAGTCCCCTCACAAATCCTGATAAATTTAATCCCATGCTTCATAGAAATGGGATCATCTTTCCATTATACTTTCTAGTTGATATGGGAAAGCTATTGGTTTTGTAGCGAGCTAGAATCCTATGGAATTCTATTATTATTTCTGATAGTTGTCAGTTAATTAGCTTAAGTTTAAAAAATTATTATTTGCAAATACCAATCATTTTTTCTCCCTTTCAGACTATTTCACTGTGGAATCCATTTGATAAACATTTTTGAGACCCTATTATGTGATAATCACATGAATTCTAATCCTAATTTCTATTTCTTATTTTAATGCATAGGCAAGACTTTTCAGAACAATATTAAGTGATAGAGGGAATAATAAGTTTCCTTATTATAAAGCTTATTTTAAGAGAAACTATTCTTCTAATCCTAATTTGCCAAGAACGGTTGTTGAATTTCACCACATGACTTTTTAGCATCTACCATAGGCTCCTTTGACTGCCAGTAATAATTGCATTGACAGATTTTTTACTATATTTATGTTAATAATAAGATCTATATTTTCAACACTGAATTTATAAGCTATTTTATGATTTTTGTTTCTATATACTGCTAAGTAAGACTGATTCATAATTTTCTATATTTTAACTTCTTTTTATAAACCTGTTATCAGAGACGCCTGTGATAAATTTTCTAGGAAATTTTATACCCATGTGTTGAAGTAGCTTTATATAAAGTAAAACTTATTTGTTCCTTTAAATTATGAAAGAACCAGCCTAACAAAAAAAGCTGAGCCATTCAAATTCTTTTTAATACTTCAGTCAATTTTTATAATTTAAATTTTTCCAGATTATCATCACTTTCCATGAGAAATTTCAAATTCATTCATATTAAATTGTATATGCTGCTACCTAATGTTTGTTTAAACCCTTCCAAATTTAGGATTATTACTTCTTTGGATTACTTGTATTTCACTTTTTCTTATTACAGTGGCTGGAAATTCACCTAATTTATTAATATCTTCAAAGAACTAGCTCTAGCAGCTATCAATTAAATTACTACTTTTTTTTTTTAAGAGAGGGAGGTGGGGGTGCAGAGGGAAAGGAAGAGCAATATTCTCAAACAGGCATGGAACCATATGGGAGTTCAATCTTACAACTGAGACCATGACCTGAACTGAAGTCAAGGGTCCAATGCTTCATAACCAATTGAGCCACCCAAGTGTGCCTTCAATTATATGATTTTAAAACCAACTTCTAATTGTTTAATTTCAATTTGCATTTTCATTTTCTGTTTTCTGCTTTCTTATATCTATTTTATTTTCCTAATTGCTTGAGTTCAATAAAAATTCATTTTATTTTTCTTAGTAATAGAGGCTTCTAAAGCTAAGAATTTCTAATTGCTGTTTGAGCACATTTGATACTAACTTTTCTCATCATCATTACTTTCAAAAGTCTCTACACTTTTGGTTAGATTTCTTTTTTGATCCAATAATTATATATACAACAGTAATGTATTTTATTATAAAATTTCAGTTTTATTATACTGTAAGAGAATGTGGTCTTTACAAATTTTAGTCTAGGTTTTCTACTGAGCCTTATTTTGCAACTTAAATATTACTTTTTTAAAAATTTAATGAATGCATTAAAGGATGTTTAGTCTCAATTGTCCGTGTATATATATGAAATTAGTCTTGTTAAATATATATTTTTTCTGTGTCCTTTTGTTCTTTTTAAAGTAGCATGTTAAACTCTCTCAATACTATTATATTTTGTGAAATCAGTTATTTCAGGAGTTATTTCCATATACATTGATATTTTTTGTTATGTAAAACATGAAAATTCATGAAATATCTTCATTGTGATTTATAAGCATTATTAGTAGAATCACCCACTTTGAATATGAAAAGGCAGAACTGAAAATAAGTAACAAAGAGATCATTCTTTAAATGTTACCAGGACAACTGGTAAACTGGGGAACCTAAAGTTTAACCTAAATCCCCATATCAAAATAAATTCCATATGGATTAAAACATTAAATATAAATTGTGAAACCATAAAATTGGAAGAGAATACAGCTGCACATTTGCCTGTTGCAGAGTATTTTCTTTGTGCAAAAATATGTTAAGCATACAAACATAAAAAGAAAATAGATATTCCTATCAAGGTAGAAATCAAGGTGTTCCATCTGTTCCTCCTGTATATTCCCTGGACTTGGAGCAGAGCATCTTAAAACATCTGCTCAGCCTTGAAAACTGAAATCATTACCTTTGTTTTGAACTCAGTCATACTGCTCAATCTCCAACTTTGAGTCTTTTGTTATACCACTGGTCAATACTGCTAAGCCACTCACTCTGCTTTTCTCTTTCAGAGTATCTATTATTCTTAGGTTGGACCTCCATAGTCAGCCCTCTAAATTACACGGCAAACCAAAAGTATTTTCTGTTTCTCTTTGGAATTAAGAATGTCAATCACAGCTTCCAAACTTCTAATCTCAGCTACAATCTTTTTAATTTAATAGCACTTTCTGATTAATTCTGGGACTCCTGTTTCATTTAATAAAAGCAACTTCCTCCTTTATCATTTGAGAATATGAAGTACATATATTCCAAGCTTTAGTTCTAATAAGTGAAGGGCCTGTTTTAGGAAGAATTTTTTCTATATGTTTTTTTGAGAATGTTTCTCTTTTGCTACCATTGTTTCAATAGACCTCGTGTTATTGATGTTTCTTTTTTACTAAAATGAGAGAGAGGTCTATGCCCAATGGTGAAGCAAAAGCCCAGTCCTTGGAAGAAAATGTTTGTTTTTTGTTTGTTTACTTATTTATTTACATACACAGACACAAATCCTCACTCTCTCTTTGGTGGCTCTTTACCGCCCCCCCAGTGTGTACCCCATCTTCTTTTTCATCCATCTTATATATCTTAAAGTGACAATGTTACCTATCTTTTAAAGTTATAAATATTAATAAAATATATATTACAAATACCTTTTCAAGAAGTCATAAACAGGATTTGTTATCTCCACCATAAGATGAAATTTTTCATCATTCATACATTTTAGCATAACTTGTGTGAAGAATTCTAGGAATCTAGGTCTCTGCTTAAATTTCATAACTGTGGAAAAAAAAGAAGTGTAACAGTAAATGTGGCAAGAACTCCTGTCTAAGATCAAATAATCCTTTATAGTATATATTTCATTTATTTTTCCAAATATCTCAATGTTGAGAAATAGTTCATTAAATTTGCCTCTACTATATGACAAGTTAGGGGAATAAATTGCTGATAATTATCAGAATTACTAGTTACCCTAATTTTTTTCACTTTGAGTTAAACAGTAACATTGCTATTTCTTCACAGCTGTACTTAAAGATCACTCACATTTTTCAATTCCCTAGTTTTCACAAGCTTAATATCATTTACTACCAAAATAAGTCACCATCAAGGTTCTGTCTTTCCAGACTTTAAATCACATTACTTATAGTCAATATTCTACATTATTCTGAATGGGTAAGAACCTACTTACCTTCTAGGCAAGAGACTAGAAAGGTGAAAGCTTTCAGACAACCACAGAACCCACAGAATAAATGATCTTCAGTAGAAAATTGAATGAACAGCATATATACATTTAGGTTACCTACCTTCTTTCACAGCACCTTTGACCGACCAGTTTAAAACAATAGGGTAAAGAAATATAGGGTCCTCTGCTCCTGAGAGTTCAGTTGTAACATCTAAGGTTTAAAAAATTAGTAAGTTGTAGGTTCCATTTAGCATGAATGACCAAAAACGAAAATTCTTTGGAAGGAATAAAAAATAGGAAAATGCTCAAATATTCATTTTAAATTATGTGCCTTCAAAATGTCAGCTATATCATTATATTCTGGAGTTTAAAAACTCCAGTGATCTCAATTATTTTCATTTTTCCCCCCCAAAAGCCAAGGAGTCCACCACCAAATAGGTGCATAGTGTCCACGGTATGAGTCTCTCATATTCAGTATCTGTCGTATATCAGCAAATCCCAGACTTCAAAATATACCAATTATATTAACTTCTTGTTTTCAAAATCACCTTTAAAAGACAGTAAAGTATAGATAATGAACAGTACAACTACTGGAGCCAGGCTGTCTGGGTTCAAATTTTAACACTGATACTTTTTAGTTATTAGACCTAGGGAAGTTACTCAAAATCTCTCTGCCTCAGTTTCTTTACTTTAAAATGAGGATAATAGTACTTCCCCCATATGGTTCTTATATAAGAGTTAGATGTATACATATAAAACATTTAACATAGTTCCTGGCACACAGAAAGCACAGTATAAAACTATTATTTTTATTACTGTCTTGTTATTAAATCTATTATTTAACTAGTAACATTATACTGTACTTCTTAGTTTGTATTGATAATATGAAAATAGTTCACATTTCTAAAACACTTTACATTTTGGGGCACGCGGGTGGCTCAGCTAAGCATACGCCTTCAGCTCAGGTCACAATCTTGGGGTCTTGGGATTGAGCCCCGCGTCGGGCTCCCTGCTCAGTGGGGAACCTGCTTCTTCCTCTGCCTCCCTTCCTACTTGTGTGTGTATGCATTCTCTCTCTTTCCCTTGTGAGTAAAGAAAATCTTAAAAAAAAAAAAAAATCAGGTTTACTGGTTATGTGAATAATAGAGTCTTGGGTTCAACCCATAAATTGAACTTGAAACAGACTTGGAACATACTGAGAGAGAGAGAAAAATATCCAGGTTTGGGAATTCTGGACCCAAATATAACTGAGGTACACAATAAGAGAGGTGGAGGGACACTGAATTCTATGAGTGGAGTCAGCTCCAAAGAGGCTGAGGGCCCCAAAGTGGAACCTCTTACTTGAGAAAAATTAAGAGAGAAAAGGTGCTCTCTTGTTCTTCTAAAATATTTGAAGTACCTGCTTTTAAAAAGTGTGATAATATTTTTCATCACCAGAAACTAAATCAATTTCTTAAGCAGATTTCCAAACTGCAAACTCCAAAATTCCAATCATCGTGTTAACATTGGTCCATTATGAAATTACTATTTCGCACAATGACCTAAAATTAAACTACTCTTTCACTTGGGTAGACCGTGATTCAGATCATTCACACATTAACAACTTCCACGCTATCCTTTTATTTCTCGGTTACATTTTTGCCTAAAGTAGTGATTCTCAATTTTGTGTCCTCCTCTCCGATATATCTGGCAACATTTGCCTCCCAGGTGATTGTCACAGCTGGCGGGATGGTGTACCAGGTATGTACAGATAAAGGCCAGGGATTCTGCTCAGCGTCCTGTGGTACCCCACAGCAAAGAATTAGCTGGCCCAAATTGGCAATAATGCTGAGGGGGAAAAAACCCTGCTTTAGAATCAGAAGATTTAGGCTCTAAAACAAGCCAGCTATGTAATCGTAAATAAATCACTTAATCTTCATGAACCATGTGGGGGAGGCGGGAGTGGTTAACAATCCGTTATTAACAAAGTATTGCTAGGATTACTGGCATAATGTAAAAGTACCTTAAAGGATTTACCAAATGCTAATCTCATCTTAATCCTTTTAGCAAAATATTTTCTGATTTTAAAAAACATAACACTAAACATAAGTATCTAGAAAGGAAAAAAAAATTACTACATTGCTTTGTCAGTTTGAGTAGGTGTGTCTCCAACAAGGCCAGCTGTTCATTTATTTTTTCAGGTAATAATATCTGCTGTGGCTTCTTAGGCTTGGAAGACTTCTTAGAAGAACCCTAAAAACATTGGTTAAGTGTCAGAATGTACCTCAACATGTTTCAACAATTGTCACTTTCAAGTAATAATCTTTAAATTATTATTTCATACTTTCATACTTGGTAGACAAAACTATGATCTACATGGCCAAGTGATATAAATTAATAATAGTCACAGTCATTTCATTCTAACTAAATGACAAACGTAACACTCAGTGTTTTATATAGGTTGGCCAAAATATTTCTTCTCTTCCCTTCTCCCTTCCAGTAACTACCCCCCCCAACTAGCACCACCCCTTTCATCCAATACACAAACTCTTTTGAAAGCAGATGAGGGTCAAACTCTAAAAAATCCTCAAAAGAAAATGCCCAGCCTGCCCTCAGAAATGTATTCCTTTTTCCTTTTTCCTTTCTTTTTCCCTGAGGAGCTTCTTTACAACTAAGCTAATTGCCTTTGCTGCTTTGCCTTTCAGTGAAACATAACAAGATCGGCAATTAGTGGATTAAGCATTGGCAGGTTTGTGATCAGACTCCCCACCATGTTTTCAACAGTCTGAGCCTGAGAACTGAAGGTGTTAATGTCTCCTGTTCTCCAAAAAAACAAAAAACCAAAACAAGATAAAAACCCTCCCAAGCCCCTATAGGCTTAAAGGGACCTTGAATGGCTATAAGGAGTTCTGACTCCTCTAAATTTGGTACTAGCTTCTCAGTCCCTACAGCCTTAGAAAGAAGTAGCATGACCTTCTGCTGGGCTTGAGGCTCCACAGAAAGAAGCAAGGAGTCCTGCCCTAGAGTGATGTGAAGGGACAGGGTTGTGACTCAAGGCCTGGGTGGCATAAACAGCCCAGCTGATGGACTCTGAGAGTGAACATCACTCGGTGGAAAAAGCCCTCAAACTGCATCCAGCTTAATCAAAACTCTCTCTAGACAAAATAACCCCCATCCCAAAAAAAAAATTATGGCCTAAAAAAAAAAAATGCATCCAGGAAAACAGTGGTGATTTTTGAAGCTTTTTTGTGGCAAGCAAACAAACACTTACATATAATTCAGCATATAAGAGAGACAGAAATAGGGCTATTCCAATGGAAACAGAGTCCAGAAGTGATAGTCTCCACCCCTACACCAGGCAGTGAAGGGGCTTCAAGTGATTCCTAGTGCTCCTCAGAAACCCAATAAACTCAGCAACATTTCACAATTTGATCCACAAAAACACATAACCACATGGTCTCTATAAGAGACCCTACCATAAGACCCATGCTTGGCAGGCAGATAATTAAAAAGCAGTCTCAGGCATTAGCAGTCTCATAAAGAAGACAATTTAGGTGTCACAGTGAGTTCAAGAAAAATCTACTGTGAACAAAGTAAAAAGCTCTGACATGTATTTACTACATTTGATAACCCACCCAGCATAATAAAATCCTCAATCTGAGGGAGACTTTAGAGGGCTTTTAGTTCTAGGTTCTGCTGGGTGTCAGAAGCTCTCTATCAATGCCTGATTACTGATCAGTACTGGTGAGAGGGGACCCTTCAGTATTCTAGCAGGAATTCCTTTAAGGAAGGTCTTCACCATATATTACTTTTTGTTTATATAAATATGACTAATTTAAAACTGATCAATGTTCTAACACATTTGCTAAAACCACATGACCCTTAAGAGACTCAAATAAGGGACGCCTGGGTGGCTCAGTGTGTTGAAGCCTCTGCCTTCGGTTCAGGTCGTGATCCCAGGGTCCTGGGATCGAGCCCCACATTGGGCTCTCTGCTTAGTGGGGAGCCTGCTTCCTCCTCTCTCTCTCTCTGTCTGCTTCTCTGCCTACTTGTGATCTCTTGTCTGTCAAATAAATAAATAAAATCTTAAAAAAAAAAAAGAGACTCAAATAAGTATATTTTTAAGATGAGAAACAAAAATCAATTACCTCCTCTTGTATTTCTTCTTGGTCAGACACACCAAATAGAGATTTGCATGCTGATGTGATATCCAACATCTTTTTTCCATAATTTATAATCATTACTGCCAGGTCATATTCTTTCCATGAACGCAGGATCTAATTAAAAATATTTATTAATTATCTCTGTTGGAAACATTTGTCTATTTTCAAGTGTCATCAACCATCTTCATAAATTCATAAGCCCATTAATGTTTTGAGTCTAAGAATTCCCCTGATTTTGTTAAGGAAACTGGAAGTTTACTTCCAGATCTTATTTCCCAACAATTAAAACTGCATGATCCCACTGCTTTAAATAAAGGACAAATAATAAGATTATCTGATCAATTATGAATTCCCCATATTTCTGGGACATATAGCCCTACATGTTTTGGTGTAGGAAATTAACAATTAAGAAAATATTTCCACTTAAAGACAATTATCATATGATCTCCCTGATATGAGGAAGTTGAGAGGCAACATGGGGGGTTTGGAGGGTAGGAAAAGAATAAATGAAACAAGATGGGATTGGGAGGGAGACAAACCATAAGAGACTCTTAATCTCACAAAACAAACTTAGGGTTGCGGGGGGGCGGAGGTAGAGAGAGGGTGGCTGGGGTTATGGACATTGGGGAAGGTATGTGCTATGGTGAGTGCTGTGAAGTGTGTAAACCTGGCAATTCACAGACCTGTACCCCTGGGGCTAGTAATACATTATATGTTGATAAAAAAATAAAAAATTATTAAAAAAAGAAAATATTTCCACTTAAAAGATCCATGTTAAATCATTCTAAAAAGATCATAAACTACCACCTCCTGTCTGGAGTAGCTTTCTACATGAAATGGTACATTACTGACATCATAATATCTTGGGTTGGGAGGAGGTAGTTATATCAGTAAATGACTTAAAAGATATTCTGGCAGTGGACTAGACTAGAGATAAGCTGTTTGGGGCAGATTCTCTGTGAACCCTAGGGGAAACAGACACTGAAATCATAAAAAGAGGAGCCCCTCTCATGCACAATTTATTACTAATTACTACTCTTTGGGCTTCTCTCACAGGCCCTTAGCTACCTCTCTAGCATAAACCACTCATTTCTTTATACCTTATGCTTAGAAAATATTGAGTCAAATATAAATTCTGATACTCCCCATGGTTTCAGGACTTCATGCCTTCGTACGCCTGAGGCATTTCTCAGAATAACTTGTCCACCTTATTTATAAAGCTTTACCTGGTCATTAAAACCTGGGCTCCAGCATGGACAGGAAAAGTTTCTCTGGCCAGCAATCTAATTTGCACATGCCCTGTTGTAGTGAACCATCATATGAAGGGGGCACATTCATGGTGAATCCCATAGGGCAATTCTCTAAGAGAATAAATAAGCTTGTAGGAATTTGTTAAATGTAGGTGTGTTGTGTTGAGCTGAATAACTTAGTATTTAAGATAAGTAACAACTGTTAATTCCCATCCAGGGAAAGGATATATACATGAATAGTTGCATAAATCTGATACTACCTACCTGATCCAAAGTGCTAAGAACTGGAAATATTTCTGTGGAACCAGGCAATAGTGTTAAACTAAAGCTGACTGTGGAAGAGAATGTACATAGGAAAATGGTGAAATAAAGTTTGAAAAAGTAGGTAGGACTAGGCCAAACAGGGCCTTGAATGCCAGGCAAAACAAGTCCAGTCTCATTATAAAATTGATATCAGATGGGGCACCTGGGTGGCTCAGTTGGTTAAGCAACTGCCTTCGGCTCAGGTCATGATCCTGGAGTCCTGGGATCGAGTCCCACATTGGACTCCCTGCTCGGCGGGGAGTCTGCTTCTCCCGCTGATCGCTCTCTCCTCTCATGCTCTCTCTCTCTCTCTCTCTCTCTCTCTCTCTCTCAAATAAATAAATAAAATCATTAAAAAATTTTTTAAAAAATTGATATCAGAGTATGTTTTATTAGAAAGCTGAAATGAGCAAATACTTCTCCTTTCAACTTTTCTTTCTAACATACTTGGGTCCAAGGCTTGGAGAGAAGTAGAGAGTGCAATCTTTCCCCCTCGCTTTAATATGCCAGTAGAAAATGATAAATGATAAAGAATTTTTCCAATCAACAGAAAAATAGAGAACCAATTCTACTCAACATTCCAAAAGGTAAACAGAAACAAAAAGACCATGCCAGATGTTTAGCATAATAATTTTTAAAATAATACAAATTAATGAAACATTTAAGATTACATGTCTCAGGAGTGGCACTTTATTTGGAAATCTGGCAACTTTTAGAAAAAATACTTCTGCTTAAAGAAGAAAAATTGGGCCATCTGAAAAAATTACCAATGTTTTCACAGAACAGAGAAAAGAAACAGAGCCATTAGACTAATTGGGCTTTCAATGTCATAACAGAAAAGCCATATAAAAATGTGTTTATAAAAAATGAACACCTAAAATTTGGGACTCGAAGTGAGGCCAGGGCTTTGGGGCTATTGATCAGGCTGAAGGAAGCTTCTGAAAGGGCAATTCTTTTTTTTTTTTTTAAGATTTTATTTATTTATTTGACAGAGATCACAAGTAGGCAAAGAGGCAGGCAGAGAGAGAGGAGGAAGCAAGCTTCCTGCTGAGCAGAAAGCCCAATGCGGGGCTTGATCCCAGGACCCTGAAACCATGACCTGAGCCGAAGGCAGAGGCTTTAACCCACTGAGCCACCCAGGCACCCCATGAAAGGGCAATTCTTAGCATAACAGTTTGGGACAGAACCAGCTCCAACATCAAAAATCTGATATCAATATATGTTTTAATTTTTACAAATGTCCAGAAATATTCAGGGTCATATCTACAATAATATCACTTGGATCTCAATATGATCCTTCAAGTTGTGGGGGTCAGGAGGTGGGAGAAGGCAGTAGAGTTGTGGATGGCAAATAAAGCAAGGAAGGGCCAGCCCCAAGCTGCACAAAATCACAAGAAGCTGAGAGAGGAGGCATGTGAATTCAAGGACTTCAACATGCACTGGGCCCCAAATGCTGGTCTTTTGTTCCAGGTCAGGAGTCTCTTCCATCTTCCACAGGGTTTGTTGTGAAACCTCCCATTCTTCTCAATCTCTGTAACCCACCTTTACTCCCCACCTCCTCTCTCTCTCCCCCTCTCTCTCTCAGCAAATGACCTTGCTTCCTGTTCACAGAAGAAATGTAGGGAAACTAGTTTATCTCATACCTACACACTAAACTGTAATTACAACCATCCTACTCTCCTGTTAGAGGAGAGAGGTCAATCTCCTGTCCAGACTAATCCCTCCCACATGTACTAGGATCTCATTGCCTCCTCCCTTCCTGGGGATCTCACTTCTATAACCACATCCTTTCCCTCTCCTGTTTCCCCTCAATGGTCAAATGTGGAGTACCCGGATAAGCAGAATTGGGTTTTTGGTTGGTTGGTTGGTTGGATGGATGGTTGGCTGGTTGATTTTTAGCAGAAGTTGCTATTGGCAAGCTGCAAGCAACAAGCTGCCTTGAACAGAGTTTCTTTGTTCTGGAAGAAATACTGCAGTAGCTGCTATCAGTCACTTAAATGTAAAGTGAACAGTTGTCCAGTACCCTGGAAAGAAAGTGTAACCTGGCCTTCTCTTACTTCAAAAAGACACGCCTCTCCTGGAAATACTTATTGACGGACAAGTTTGGGGAGAAAAAAAGCCAAACAGAGAAGATATTCTAAAGAAAAGTAAACTTTGAAGATGTACTTTTAGCCCACCGTAACACTAATCAAAGTGTGTGTAATCATAACATCAGATGGAAAAGGGTACTTGGGATTGTGGTTATGCTACATGAGAAGGATAGAACTAATAATAGCAGCAGATGGATCCTCAAAGTCAAGGTTGGGAATGAGAAAATAGCTTTGGACTAATCAGCTCTCCAATTCTTCCTCTTGACTAGTGGAAGCAGAACTGCCCCCTCCCCACCGCCGGAATAAGTGCACCCTTGAGATTCTTAAACAATTCTCTTCCCTTCTCACTCTGCACAGTCCCCAGATGATATCATCTATTTCTACTATTCAGCTGAGTCCATATATTAACAATGGTTTTGTCTTTAACATATTTGTCCTCTCTTAAACTCCAAGCCTATGGGTCCAATTATATAATATATACCTCTTTGGATATCCTACTAGTCCCCAAATTCAATAGATTCAAAATTCATTATCTTTTCTCCCTTTTTTTTACCATAAATTCCTCCTTATCCAGAGTTCGACAAATAGCATTGTATTCACCCAACTGCTGAGGCCAGAAAGCTGGATTGCTGTTGGCTCCTCCCCCTCTTTCCTCCCACACTTAGCAGGTTAACATGTTCTCAACTCTATCTCACAAGTGTAACTTATCAGTTAGGTGCAGTAAGAGGCTAACAATAACTAACAATAAAATAGAACAATTATAACAATATACGATACGACAGGGTCTCTCTCAAAATATCTTGTACTATGCTCACACTTCTCTTTGTGATGACTGAGATGGTAAAATGCCTACATGATGAGATGAAGTGAGGGGGATGACACGGGTGTTGTTAGGCTACTACCGACCTTCTGACAACTGACTAATGCAGTTGACTGCAGGAAACTGAAACCGCGGGACGCAGAACAACAGAAAAGAGGGGACTGCCGTAGTTTGCTTTATCATCCCTCTCCTTCTAACTCATTCCCTACCTCAGGTTTATCCCACTCTATTAGCTGTTGTTCCCCATAATAATTTCTTTTTGTTAAAATGCAAATTTAATTATGTTGTTTCCAGGATTAAAACCCTTGAATGGCTCCTCCCTGACCTCATGAGATGGCCATTCATCACCTGGTACCTGTTCACTACTCCACTTTTTTTTTTTTTAAGATTTTATTTATTTATTTGACAGATAGAGATCACAAGTAGGCGGAGAAGCAGGCAGAGAGAGAGGAAGGGAAGTAGGCTCCCCGCTGATTGGAGAACCCGATGTGGGGCTGGATCCCAGAACCCTAGGACCACGACCCGAGCTGAAGGCAGAGGCTTTAACCCACTGAGCCACCCAGGTGTCCCACTACTCCACTTTTTAAGGTGATTGAAACATATCCTTCATAATTAAAAATAAATCTGATTCTTCTTTTCCTTAACTGTAAGATTATTTCATATTTTCTCATTGATTGCTCCCCGAGGTAATGTTAATAATCTTATCTGTCAAATATTTTTTAAGATTCGCATTTAAGCCTGTTAATACAGTGTCTTGTCATAAAAAAATTTTTTTTGCTTATCATCTAGTCTGTTTATCTATCTTTTTCTGTGTACCTTTTGAATTTTATGCCCTATTGAGAAAGGTCTCCTCTGACTTCAAAGCCATACAAATATCCATCTGTCTTTATTTTGCTTATGGTAGGAGGCTCTGTCTTCATTTATTTACAGATGAATAGTCAATGATACCAGCACCTCTTATTAAATAAAATATTTTAAAAGATTTTCCCAATAACTCCAAATGCCACTTTTGTCATTTATTAAGTTCTTCTGTAGACCTGGGTTGGCTGGCTATTCCTGGGCTCTTCCTCTGAACTATTTGCCTATTAGTTTGTTAACACCATTTTTTATTGAAGTGGCCTTATAATAAATTTTAGTATCTATTGAGAACTTTTAAAATTATTCTAATCAGTTTCAGAGAAACCCCATTGGGATTCTGATTAGAACTGTATTACATTTAAATACTATTTTTGGAAGGATTTCTATTTCTATGACAGTAAGTCTCCCTACTCAGGAACTTGGAATGGCCTGCCATATGTTCAGATCTTATTTTGTGCCCTTCAGGAAGGTTTCAGTTGTGTGATTCAGGTCTTTTAACACTTTGTTAGGTTTAAAATGCTGTATATTTTTTCTCTAAGTTTTTATTTAAATTCCAGTTAGTTAATATACAGTGTAGTATTAATTTCAAGCGTAGAATTTAATGATTCACCACTTACATACAATATCCGGTGCTCATCTCAAGTGCCTTCCTTTTTTTGTTTTTTGGTGTTTTTTTTTTTTAATTATGTTCCTCCCTAATGCCTATCACCTATTTCACCCAACCCCTTGCCCACCTCCCCTCCAGCAAACATTCAGTTTGTTCTTTATGGTTAACGGTCTCTAATGCTTTGCTGCCCTCTCCCTTTTTTCTTCCTTTCCCTATATTCATCTGTTTTGTTTCTTAAATTCCACATATGATTGAAATCATATGGTATGTATCTTAAAATACTGTATATTATTAGCAGTGTATTTTCCTCTCTCTCTATTTCTAACTGGCTACTGTTACTATTAAAAAAATCAGTTTGTAAGCATTTCACACACAATCACTTTATAAATTCTTTTTTTAATTCTAGTAATTCTTTTTACTGGATTCTCATGAGTTTTTGAAACCTGTACAATTACAGATGAATTATACTTTTTTAATATTGTAAAATTATTTCATATTCTTATCTATTACATAAGACAGAATCTCTACAAATAATAATTCACACCATCAAGAGTCAGAATCTCCTATACCTGATTTTTAAGGAAATGGTTTCAGAAAATTGCCGTTTAGTATATTTGCTGTAAAATTTTGGTTAATGTCTTTATCATTGTTCAATAGACTCCCTCCATTCCTAACTTACATATAATCTTTTTAGGAAAAGTTGCTAAGCGTTATCAAATGCCCCTATAGCATTTTTCACTTAATCTAATTGTGATTTTCCTTTTTTAATTTGTTATTGTAAAAAATTAGGAATTTTAATTCAGACTTGATCTTTAATACTTAACAATGACACTGTCCTAAAACAGAAAGTGACCAGATGTCTTCCAGAAGCAGAGAAAGGTGATAAGACACAACAATTTTGAACAAAATTATACAACGCCTCTTTGTCCTGATTCATGTTTGGGATTCTGACTCCTGCTTTTTTCGCCTATAAAAATGGCTATTCCTCCTTTATTTGTGTTTGTATTTCCCCAGTACCTCTATCCATTTATTTTCAACCAGTGTTTGTCACATTGTTTTGCAAGTGTTTCTTGCATTTGAATCTGACTTTTTAGCTCATCTGGCCATCTCTGTCTTCTGAGTTCATTTACACTTAGTGAAGTAATTAATATTCTTGATTGTATTCCTTCTATCTTAAATACTATCTTTTCTTCCTTCTTACTTTTGCTGAATTAGCCATTTTTTCTCCCTGTCATTCCTCTCTTCATTTTTTCTTCCTGACAATTTAGAAGTCCTACTGTGCTTTAAAGTTTTGCACTTAGCTACATGTTCCTGAGTCACTTTTAAATAAAATAATAATTTTACATTATATGTATTTTTTATACTATATTTTTTTTTAAATACACAACCATGCACCACAAATCTCTACCTGGTGTCCCCTCCCTTGACCCCAAACAAGATAAAAGTTTTAGTTCTAGTTATTAATAAGTTTTTCTTTCAAAGATAACTCTTCTATTTCAAGAATTCCTACTTAGCATTTATATTACAAAACCCGTATCACATCGTTATTACCTATTTAATTTTAATAGTATGTATATTGCAAGATTCATGGCTCCCATTCCTCTCCTTTTTGTCTTTCCCTACCTTGGGATTTCTCTCCTGAACCAACTGTCATTTGATAGAGTACTTCCTCGAGTGTTTTCCTCAGATAAGTACATGGGCAGAATACTTTTTAGATGTTTGCACTCCTGAAAATGTTTATTTTGCCCTGACAAAGGAATTATATCTTCCCTGGTTATTAGTTTTTGGACCTCGGTCTTCTCCCCTCAGGATTCTACAAATGTTGCTCTGGTATTTTAGCTTCTACTGTTGCTGATAAAAAGTTTAAAGCTAATGGATTCTCTTTCCATTGCAAATAACCTGTACTTTGTTCTCAAAACTTTGAGATTTTTCTTTATGCTTGGACTCCAAGAATCACACCACCAAGTGTCAATACATGAGTCCTTAAATTAATCTGGCCTAGGACTTAGGGAGACTATTCTCCATTTTTTAAATTTCCTACCTCCAGAACTCTTTTTGTTTTTTGTTAGTACTTTTGGATCTGCCTTCTGAATTTATCTCTAGGTAATTCCACTCTATGCTGTCAGGTATTTCTTGAGCTTCCAGATTTGACTCAAGAAATACCATTAACTACAATCTTTATCTGTTTAATTTTTTTAATCAAAAATCAAATATCTTTTCTTCAGTTACAAAAGATCTTCTGTTTTGTTTTCACCATTTAGTTTCATCAGACCACTTTGAAAGTTTTCTTTTGTCTTTTTTTTTTTTCAAGTTACCTCTGGTCTTTTCCAACAAAGTGAGAGTAAAAACACAGTTATTCTGGTGTTTGGCCTGACCCTTGGAGTTCTGAGTCCTCTTAAGTAAGTTTTTTTTGTTTTTTTTCTTCTTCCTGCAAATGGCTACCCTCCCTCCATATTTGCACAAACAAAGTTAAAGATGTGTCTCCAGCAGTGAGAAACCAGTGAGCAATGGAAAGAATATGATTTTCTGCTCCTGAGGGCAGGCCATAAACACCCAGCAAATCATGACTTTTTTGCTAAGATAGAAGGTAAAGGCCTCTCTGTTTCCAGACCTTCACTGAGACAAACTTAAGTCCCAAATAAAGTGATCGATCAAATCAGCCCACCCATGCAGTATTCTTCCAGATCCTTACCAAATCACAAAGGTCCTATGAGGACCATATAAAACAGGCGGGCAGATATAGTCCTTCTTTGAGGAAATTCACTGGATTCAGTCAAATAAAGCCTTTGAAAAAACAGACAATGTGGGTCTTTGAGCCAAGCAATGAGGATAAATAAGCTTACCAGGCCTCTGGTCTCTTGGTTCGTTCTTATTTCCAAGATGAATGAGGTCCCATAAAATGCACTCTTTCCCAATCCTTCCCCTGGCCTAAGATATACCACCAGGCTTTACCAACTGAGCCACACAGACAACTCTTGACCTAAAATGTTTTGTGGGTACTATTTTTAAAAGTATTCTATGTAAAAAAGTAACTTAACATTCTAAGTAGTTGCTATTCCTAAATTTTATGACACTAGACAAAGAATGAGATAAATACCTTTGTTATATAGAAGATACAACAAGCTATCATGTGCTGTACACTTTCAAAACTTGCAATATGTTTCTTTGAATGGGTGATATTTGGTACTCCTTGCAAAGCCACTACACACTTTATCAAGATCTAAAAAATAGAAGCACAATAGTTTCTGTTGAAAAATATCACTCTCACTCATTATGAAATGTTCTATTCAAATCAAGCAAGTTTTAAACCATCAAATACTATTATCATCAATAATTGTCAATAAATTTCTTATGTATAAAAGAATGTACTCTGAGATAAAATTAATATATTCCATTTCAGATAAGTCCTTTATCTAAAGTAACTTGAAAACTAATATAGAGGATAAAATAAGTATACAAAGATTACAAAACAGCACATTTTGACAAGTGTCATAAAAAATATAGGCAAATATTATATATACAAGACACTAAAGGCACATCCAGGCTTAGGAGGATCTTAAAAAACCATTTAGAGAAGGATGTACCATATTAAATATACAGTGATACCAGTTACTTGAACGAATAGTTGCCTTCAAAATTAAAACCAAGTATCCATATCCCATATCCCATCAATACTGGTGTTTACTTCCTAGTCTCCTTGCCTTATATTATGTGATCCTGAATTTCATGAAGAGCTAGATAATTAAGTTTACCTTTCAGTACTTTGCTCTGTTCTGAGCACCATTACTGTCAAAAAAGTAGGGCTGAGATTGCATCAATCTATTAATCATCCAGATTATCAAAAGACAAATTAACATATGGATGTTGGTCTTCTGTGAGCACACTAGTTGCTTCAAGTCACTATTCTAACATTATTACTATTGTTGCTGTACACCTATGAGTATTTGCAATGCCTCTTTAATTCCTTGCATCATCACATACCCCCACCCCACTACACCATATCCCCAAATCATGTTAGCAACCTAGTAGCTTTGTAGTTTTCACCAGGTTCATATAATCATATATGTATATATACATATAAGTACATAAACATACATAGAGGGAGAGTTAATGTTATGTCACAAAATGTAATGCATAAGCACTTGTTTGAACTGTGCATTTCTCCTTTAATCGTGTCTTATGAAAATTCCCTACAAGTCTACAGGTATAGTTCAAGTTCATTATTTCCAGTGGTTGCATATTATGATTTAGTGTGGAACAACCATCATTAATTCATCCATTTCCAGAATCTCTATGTTGCATACACTTTTACAGCTGACGTTTTACTGTCTGGTATAGGTACTGACCATCCTCCTGCCACAGCACTTTCCCTTTGTCTCCAGGTTTTTTTTGGTCACCACAAAAAAGGCCATAAGAAACATCTTTGTACATGCTCAGTTGCCAATATGAGCAGCAACTTCAGCACCAGATTTGAGATGATACCTAGTGAGGATGAAGCACCATCCTCAAGGTCAAAGTAAACCCTCTAAATCAATAACAATTATGTGGTGTTGTGTCCCCAGCAGGTAGAACACATGAATCTAGGAACCAAGGGGTAGAACTAGGCATTTTACTAACTGGTGATTTTATTCTTTTTTTTAATATATTTTTTTAAGATTTTATTTATTTATTTGACAGAGAGAGAGATCACAAGTAGGCAGAGAGGCAGGGAGAGAGAGGGGGGAGCAGGCTCCCTGCCGATCAGAGAGCCCGTTGTGGGGCTCGATCCCAGGACCCCGAGATCATGACCTGAGCCGAAGGCAGAGGCTTAACCCACTGAGCCACACAGGCGCCCCTGGTGATTTTATTCTATGGGGTAAATTACTAATAGAGGGATTGCTGTGTCAAGTATATTTGTTTTTAATTTTAATTAAAATTAGATTTAGTTTCATTAAAATTAAGAATACTTTATCAAAATTCAAAGCCTAAAACAATTCAAATGTTCCCCATCAATGAATGAGAATTCCTTTGCCCCACATCCTCACCAGCAAGAGGAGTTACAGATCTTTTCAATTCTTTCAGCAATATTACATTGTCCACCTAATGTTCATTTCTAAGGATATTCAAAGTTTGAGCATCTTTTCATGGTTCTTGGCCGCTTGGATTTGCTCTCCTGTAAACTGCCTATTCATGTTCTGTGGCCATTTTTTTATTAAGTTACTGCCAATTTGTAAGCTTTTTGTTATATATATTTATCCTTGTCAGTAATATATATAAATAACCTTGTTAGATATTTGTTCTAAATCCATAAATTTTATGCTATCTTTGTTATGGTCCCTGTTGTCACACAAAGGCTGCCATAAATATAGTCAATATTTCTTATTTTTCTTGTTATTTCTAAGAGTTCTGTCTTAGTTAAAAAGGATTCCCACAACCCTGGCTTGCACATGTAATCTTCTGTGATTTTTTTTTCCCTTAACTTTTTAGGACATCTGGACTTTTTATATATGTACAATATAGGTGTCAAACTCTATTTTCTTTCACATGAATATCCAGGGGTTTCACCATCATTTTATAAAAATATCCAGTCTCTTCACACTGAATTGGAATGCCAATTCTGTCAAATAGTATATTCTCATCCATATTAAGGCCTATTTCTAAAATCTTGTTCCACTCACTTTTCCTATTCCAAACAATACAATTTAATTAGAAACTTCTTTCTCAAGGCTTTTCCTCATACCTATAACCCATTCTCTGAGGTGTAGCTAAAGGCCCCCTAAGTCAGTGGGATGCCAGAGGATGACAGTAGATTATCCTGAACTTGACCAATTGAGCACTGTTTGCAGTTGCTGGTCCCAATGCGGTATCCTTAAAAGAGGACATTAAAAGCTATGCATTGCTATGGGTTATGTTCTCTTTTCTATACTACTAGGAAGAAGTACCAGAAGTTCCCCTTCATACTGGGAAGACAAAAGTATATACTTAGCAACTTGCTCTAGGGCCATGAAAATTCTCCCAGCCTCTGACATATTTTATAAAAGGACCTGAACTCTCTGGGCATTTCTCAAAACAAAACACTGAACGATTACAACAATAACATGCTAATTGAAACTAAAGAGCAAGAAATGGCCAGTACATTAAAGACCTTGGTAAGATACATGCCCTCCAGAGGATAGAAATAAACCCTGTGAAGATTCAGGAAGCTGCAGATAAATGAACTCTCTGGGCCGTGCTGAGAAACCCCATCCAAACTAAGTCTGACATCTGGCATCTCTCACCTCTAAGAAGAAAGGACAATGCCAGCTAAATGCCTTTCGGTTCTGGAGGAAGCATCTTCTACACTTGAGAATGCTGCTCTACAATCCATCCACAAATGACATGGAAGGCTGCCAACTATGAATCTAGGTTTTGGATTCTGGAGGCAGATCTAAGCAACTGGACTCCTAAATGTGGGGAATGTGGGAGAAGGAGGCACGTCTATGCTCCAGTATAGCCACTCCAAAGCAAATATTTGTTAAAGTACTCAAGCGCCCTCGTTAGTTTTCTCAATGGTGAAGTAAAATTTTTAATGCTGTGCATGAGTTCAGTCATATTTTCTTGGTTTTCAAAATCTGGGTTGATGACAATAATGATAATGATGACAACAATGATGACGATAAAAATTTTCTAAAAGTATCAGCAGCAAAACCTTACTTCTCTCACGATTTCCCTGTAGTAGGCACAATTCTAAAACAGTCCACAAGATTCCTCCCCCTGGTGTACAAGCCCTGTATAATCCCTTCTCCTTAAGCATGGGTAGGACCTGTGACTATGAGGAGATCATCACTCTCATGCGTACCTTACATTATGTAAGACTCCTCATGCATGTTAGACGAGGCTCTCCTGCTGGTCTTAAGGAAGCAGAATGCCATGTTATGGAGAAGACCAAGTGGGAGGGAACTGATGGTGAGCCTTTAGGAGCTAAGGATCCCCTTTCACACTAGCACAAGGAAATGAATTCTCTCAACAACCAGGGAGCTTGGAAGAGGTGCGAGAGCCTCAAGTAAGATGACAGCTCTGGCCAGCACCTTGAGTTCAGCCTCATGAGACCCTGAGCAGAAGACCCAGTGAAGCCATATCCAGCCTCCTGTCCCATAGAAACTATGAGATAGTAAATGGTTATTGTTGTAAGCCACTAAATTTACAGTGATTTGTTAGAAAGAAGAGACAACTAATATAATCCCTTTAGCCAGCTCTCACCTACTCTTTTCCTATACATTTCAACTCCTCCATCACCAAGAAACCAAATATCTTTCGTATGTCATCCACCAATTTTTCCCCACATGATAATGGCTTTAACAATATGTTTTTGAATGAGTATTGCTGTTTTGAACATTATGCAATTATAAAAACTGAAATGACTTTAAAAACCTAGCAAAGCAGATTGCTAATGTTTAAACATGGACAACAATGGGCCTGAATGTTTTCAGAGAAATATATTTTAGTCTTTACTTATGTTTGCCCAAACATAATTTAGATTATTAAATTGTTTTTCAGTTAACTCATGAAATTTCATAACACCTGTCTTTGACCTATTTGTACATTACAAAAGATACACTGCTTTTTCTTTTCCAAAATGCTTTGTTAAATTGCCTTTGTAAAAAATACAAAGTAAAAAAATACTTATCTAGGGGTATAAATATGCTTACCTGTATGACAGGTACCAAAACAATATTGTGGTAGATTATAGGTGCAAGAAGGCCATAACACTGAGTCACAGCTTGAAGGGTATAACTGGAATCATTGAGGTAGTTGCTAAGTTCCAATGCCACTAATACTCTCTCACATTCAATTAGTCTAGTAATCTGTAAGGAAACAGATACTGTTACTCAAAATGAACATCAGGTGCTTCACTAATATGTCTCTAAGAAGAATAAAGGGTAGGAAATATGATCCTGTGGCTTAACAACATGTTGGTATGTTAAAATGTTGATTTTAAATCAAGACCTAAATTCAAGAATAATTCTAACTCCCCAACAATGCTATGTATGGGTAAGACAACCTTAGAGTTAAATTTCAGAATATTTTGTAAAATAATACAAGTGCCACTAGTAATGAAGAAAGAACCAATATTTTTAATTGATAAAATAAAAACTTGGCTATATTTTAATGTTAGAAAAAAACTAGTTTTTTCAAAACATAAATGTTATAACAAATAATAATTAAAATATTATGTCTCTGTAATATTATCCCCACTTTAAAAAAAAGTCCCATTTTCTTACTGAGTTTGTGGGAAAAAAAAAAAAAAAAAAAACGATGAATTTTCAGCAGACCAAACTAATCTTCTATTATACTTTTGCTACTTAAATAAAAATGGTAGTAAAATAGAAAGTTGGGCTTTTTTGAGTAAATGCTTTTGTGATTAAATGATCCTAACTTTTCCCTTCCCTTTCCTGAGGGAAGATTTTACTATGTTTCTTATCTTTTATTTTGAAAGATTTATTTACTTTTTTGAGGAGGATGGGGGAAGAGCAAGCATGTAAATGGAGGGAGAGGCAGAGGGAGAGAAGCAGACTCCCCACTGAGTGTGAAGCCCAACATACAGGGCTCCATCCCAGGACCCTAAGATCATGACCTGAGCCGAAACCAAGAGTCAGATGCTCAATGTACTGAGCCACTCAGGTGGCCTATTTTTCTATATATACATACAAAATTACATACAGAGAAAACATGAGTAGCAACCAGAAATTTCCATAGAGTAAATTTTTAGTAGGATGGTAGTCTAGCATTCTGGAATTCACTGAAGTACTTAAAGACTGACTTTATAATATGTTTATTTAAAAAAAAAAACTGTCTTTATGTACAGACTGAATGCAACATAGTAGGAACAGGATGATGGTTATGAGTGCTTAGGCTCTGTAAGACTATGAACTTACCCCGGACAAAAGGTCATGTCTTTTTTTTTTTTTTTTAATTTTTGTATCCACGGGCACTGTCACAGTCTCCCATAACAATTTATTGGTTGGTTTATTTGCTTGGTTATTAAATAAATAAATGCATGGGTAGGAAAATGCAACTGTGAAAAGCAAACACCTGGGAAAAGTCTCTGTGTTTAAAGTTAGTAAAGAAGGAAAGAGGAAGAGGGAGAAAGAAGAGTGATGTTCAATCTAGAATGAAAACAAAAGTGAAGGACTGTTTTTAAAAGCAAGATGTTAAAGTTAGAAAGTTGCAGATGTACAGACAGCAATGTTTATAACCACCCTGAGAATCCATCAGTAAGAGATAGGTTACATTCTTGCCTCTATACAGTAACGCAATATTAGAGTTAAGAACAATTTGGTATGAAAACGAATGCTCACTGATGTTCTTCATCCCAGAAAGGCAACAGTACCTGAGGAAGAAATTCGGGGAAAACTAGCCAAAATGGACGAGAACATACCAGATGTCATTTTTTATTTGGTTTCAGAACCCATTTGGGTGGTGGCGAGACAACTGGCAAAGAAAAATGAACCCAATCATAGACCTGCAAGATATGGCCTGTATTAGCAGAAAAAGACCTCAAGAAAACAGGGAAAGGAACGCAAGAACAGAATGAAGGCGGTAAGGAGGACTGCCAAAGCCAGTGTTGGTGCTGGCAAGAAGTGAGATGGAGAGTGGACAATAGGAGTAAAGATTCTGTAGTGACTTTATTTGTGGTGATCGTGCAGATTTTTCATGAGAGGATTGATAAACTAAGAACTTAAAAAAATCTGGTAAATTGATAAGTATCTGCATGAAAATACGTTCAAGATAAATTATAAAAAAGGTTAAATAGGCAAATTGTGGAATAGAAAGTAGATTGTGATGTCATCTTGTAAAATAATATTAACAATAATTTGTCTATGCATATTTTAAAAAATCAGAGATATAAAACAAAACAGAGGGAACAAAATCATATTATTTTTAGGAGCAACAGGATTACGATGGATTTTACTTTGTACTTTATATCTTTTTTAGTATTTGAAATTTATACTATTTTGTACAGACACAAAAGATAAACTGAAAAGAAGAAAAATATATATGAACTTGGTCCTATGAAACCTATATGGAATATCAGATAAACCTGCACAATCATAAAATGACCTCTCAGTCCATTCACAAATCAGGGTATGAAATCCCAAAAGAACATGAACTTGAAACATCAATAAACAAATAAAGGGAAATCAGCATATTTTTGGTCATTCTAAAATCACTTACTTGTTGAGAGGGGAAAAGCTCATTGCCTTTAATACTATCACAGAAAAGATTTTCTTCTTTAATTTTAATGTCACTTGTTACAAAAATATTTCTAAGAAAAAAGTATAAAAGGATTGAAGAAGTCTCTGCCAAAATATCTGAATGTAATCTGCAAAAGGAAGTAAATGATGTTACAAGTATAAATACAAAATGATTTAGCATATAAACACACCTTTTTAGGTTGATTTGTTCTTAATATCTACACAGTGATCCCAAAATAACAGCAAAAATTTGTGGAACAATTTCTCCCACACAGCTCTTTAAATTAAAATTAAAGACTATATTTAACAACAAGTTAACAACTAAGAAAATTAAGCTGCTGACATATTATGTCACAGATACATAAAAATAACTATTGGTGAAGTAAAACTTTCTGGTTCTAATATACAAACTTCTTTTCTATCAACATAATGAAATCGCTATAGATACTCAGAAGCTTGGGGAAATAGGCCCAATATTTCAATTAATAAACTTTTGGAAAATAAGGGTCACTTATAGCAAAATCCACCCTGGGTAAGGAGAAAAGGAAAAAGAAAGAGGCAAGAAGGGAGGAAGGGAGGGAGGCAGAGTCTTAATAACTCTTAGCTTATTTTTAATTATCTTTTCTAAATTGTAGTCAACAGTGCCAATTATTGGCAAAACTGTGAAATATGCAGCCTTCCTACTTGGTTTCCAATACTCCCTTCCTTGTTCTCAACATTACTTGGTGACGAACTTTCCCTTCTAAGCATCAGGTCCACCCTCTATCTCAAAAAACAGGAAAGGATCTGACATCAGTAATTCACACTTGATCATGATCCATTTCACCACTGTGTTTAACGCTGAAATTACACTTGCTAGAAGAATGTTAGTCCTCCCACTCCTACAACTCATACTGAACTCTCTCTTGGTCCACGTGATAATTGATCATTGGTACCCGGACGCACACAATGTCCAGGCTGTTGCTTCCTCGTGGCTCCATTTCCTTCTCTACAGAGCTCACACGCTGGTCAGCCATTTCAACAGTGACCTCTCTCCCACTTCAGATTCTGCACCCCTTATTTTAAGCCACAATCAGTTTGCCTGACTTGCATAGATGTCACTGACTGTTTTTTCTATCCCTTCTACAACAATCACTTACTTAATCTCATTTGATCTTTCTTTTTCATTCACACTAGCATTTGCCAAGCACCTACTATGTAGAAAACACTATTCTATGCCCTGGGATATAAAGATGAGTCAAATGTGGCCCTTACCCAGAAGAACTGGGCTCTACTACAAATTCATGTTATGGGATATCAACTTAGTCATTAGTCCTTCTCAGCAACACTTCCGTTTATCCCTGATGTCTCTTTGTTCACATTCCTGAGTAAACGTTCTAAACCCCCTTCTCTCCACCCTATGTATTTCTATATCCTCCAGGTTCTACCACCATAGTGTCATTATTGTGGGAATGTGCTTATACCCTCAGTTTCTCCCTCTTCACTGTCTCCATCCTCAAACATGCTTTCCTTAAACCTGCCTTCCCCCTCCATGTTCTGCCATCCTCTTCTTTGCCACCAAACTTCACATGAGTGATCTTAGTTTATTCCAATTCTCCATTTTCACTTATTTCTTACCCAACTGCAGAAGGTTTCTAGCCCATCACACCACCAAAATAGCTCTCTTAAACTCATCAATGGCCTCCTAATTGTCAATTCTAAAGGTTTCCTCTTAGTTTTGATCCTACCCAACCTCTCTGTAGCATCTCTTACTGAGCAACTCCCCTGCCTGACCTTGCAATGGCATTTAATAGTGCTGACCAGTCCCTCCTGGGTGATACTCTCACTTCCTTTGGCAATGCACTTGTCCAGGCTTTCACCTCCTGAACTACTCCTTTTTGTAGAATAAGTTATGAGACTTGGGCTTTCCTCCTTCCTCCCATCCTCCCTTCCTTACTTTCTTCCTTCCTCCCTCCCTCCATCTATCTTTCTTTCTCCCTTCTTTCCTTCCTTCCTTTGTCTCTTCCTTCCTTCCTTTCCTGTAATGCAAGTCTGACTTAAGCTTTGATTGCCAAAGCATCCACTTCAGAGATAGCTTTCTCTAATAAATACATTGCCAGCCACACAACTAGATAAAGAGCCAGGCCACTTCCCCCACTGAGGCTCCTCTGTTTTAAAAAATCTTAGTTGATTTCAATAAATGAACATTGGGGCCATTTGTGTGTGTGTTTTTTTCTCTTCCCTTGCTTTAAATTACCACTTTTATTTTTTAAATTCAACAACAAAGAGTGAGCCCATGAAATCCTAAGCACCCACACTTTACCTCAATAAAATCAGAACCCCAGGCCCATGCTGGCTCTCTCTCTTTACCTATGACCTGCTGTGGGGCCCCAAGTGTGTTGGTGTGTTGTATAATTTCCAGATCCCATAAATAATAAATCTTTTTTTTTTTTTTTTTTTCAAAATTTCCAGATGGTCATTTCTGAAAGGTGTCTTGCAATCATAATAAGAACCACAAGGGCTAATTCAGATACAACATTGGTTATTCATGGGCTCAGACCAGCATAAAACATTCTCAGCCCTTCCTTGGTTCCATCTCCTGCTTCAGCCTCTTAAATATAAGCAATGTCCAGAGTTCAATTCCAGCTTCTATCTTTTCTGCTAAACAGTTCTTCCTTGGGAGATAGCACTTGTCAAAATTTCGACGATGACCTCATGGACAATTTCTCAATCTCTCTCTAGCCTTGACCTCTCTCCTAAGTGTCAGCACTAAATATTCAGCTACCTACTGGGCACCTCATATCCACAAAGGCATCCTGCTGGAAAACTAAATGCAAAATATTTCCTATCTAATTCATTATCTCTTCCAAAAACTTGTCCCTCACCTCTCCCTTTCCCCTAGTACATGTCATAGGCCTGCCTGCCAGTCAGGTAACTATGACAATCCCAGTCAACTTCACTACCTCCACTCTCCTGTCCCCATGTTGCACAAAACCTTCCAACCTCTGTCTCTTCCTCTCCTGAAATGCCTCTCAAATACATCCTGCATAGCACCAGCATCCTTGTACATGATAAAGGCTAAGTCTACATTTGTTTAATTGAATGGAATTATACCTTTATGTGAATAAACATTATGAAAGCCTTGCCTCAACCAGCATGTGCATTTAAGGTCATTATCTTTGACTGAGGAATAAAGGATTTTATTTTCTTATTAAAGACATTAACAAGCAGGTGAAGGAGATTGTCTTTTTTTTGAACTTGTTCAAACAGCCTGAAATCACACTAATGCTCACTTCTGGGGCTGCTCTTAAACCTTGTTTTTTAAAGGAAAAACGGCTATAAAGCAAAGGATGACCTGTGGTTTTATATGACTCCTAGCAGCCTGTCTGCAGTTGCTGATGCTCTAATCCTGGGAGCCTCTTCAAGCAAAGGAAAAACTGTCTTATCCTAATAGTCCACGCATAAGACTATAACTTTAACCCCAACCAAACTGTTCTTGTTTTTAAAAAAAGCCCCCAAAGGTGTTTGTGTTTTCTATATAATTGACAATATCTTGGTTAGTATTCAGTATTTTTTTTCCCATAGCCTTCATTACTCTAAATTCAGAATGCATCTATATGCCTCCTGTGCTTTTTCTGACTCTAGCAAAGAAGTTTCTAACAAGGACTCAAGAACTTAGAATGTAGATACTTATTAAAACACTTATTAGAAATAGTTTTACATTGACTATCTTTTTTAAAAAAATCTTATTTATTTATTTGACAAAGAGAGAGATCACAAGTAGACAGAGAGGCAGGCAGAGAGAGAGAGGGAGGCAGGCTCCCCGCTGGACAGAGAGCCCCATGTGGGACTCGATCCCAGGACCCCAAGATCATGACCTGAGCCAAAGAAAGAGGCTTAACCCACTGAGCCACCCAGGCGCCCCTACATTGACTATCTTAATATGAAACCGAAAATTAATTCTAGGCTTCACACCCAATATCCATATTTTCACCAAGCAAATTAATATTTTAAAAGAATATTTCTAATTACCTTCTCTGTGTGATAGTCATTATATTGCTTAAACAAATAACAGATTGTTCATCGTGATGTGGTGAAGCCACAAAGTAATCCCAAACTGGTGAGAAAGCCTTCTTAGCCAACTCATAGTTACCAACCTGATAGGCAACCTACAACAAAAAGTACATTATCTTATGTGATATTTTTATCTGTGAAATGTATCTTTTAAACAGGAATTCTGATAAAATCCACTCACACATTAATTTCATACACAGTTGTTAACATTTGCTCTTTTGATCTACAGGACCACAGTAAGGTATCAATGGCCACTGGCAAGGGAGGCAGACATATTTTGAAATCTCTTTTATTTCTAAATTGCATGGAAATCTGAAACTCTGTAAGGATGTTTCAAATTCTCATAAGCAAAACAAAGATCACATCTGAGCCAAATTAATTTCATTTCCATCTATCTCGGCAGTGCACTCCATTTATTAGACACACTGTTATAATGAACAATCTGTTCCAAGAGAAACAATCAGATTTCCCAAACCCAAAATATGAAATATACTTCATTCTTTTCTGGTTCAGACTGATATTTTCAGAGCTTTTGTGCAACAAAGGGCTCACAGCTAAAAAGAGTGAAAAATAAAACAGAGATGCTTCCAAGAGACCATGATATTTTTAATTCAACATACTCAACATTAGGCAAAAATAACTGATTTCACTGGCAAAAGAGAAGCTTGAGAGAAGAGAAGTCAACAACTTATCTATTTCTTTTGGTAGAATATATTTCTTTACAGATATTCCCTAAAATCATTCTATTCAAATATGTACGACAATATGAAATCTCACCATGTGAGTTATGTGCTGCTTCAAATCCTTAATGGAAGCAGGTAGAAGATAAAGTATAAATAAATTCATTAAATTAAGTATGTAAATGACATGTTGCTAGAATATATTCCACTCAAGGGAATAACTTACAGGACCAGAACTTTTTAAATCTGCCAACTCCACATTCATATCCAACCAACCAGTAAGGTTTTATGAAGTTTCTACTCTGTGCTAAGCACTGTAAGGATAGGTTCTTCAAAGCTTAAAATGACCTTATACTCCATTAAACTCTAATCAAGTTACAGACATAAAACACATGAAATTACCAGAAAAACTACAAAGAATAACATAATAATTGTGGAGGCTGAGAAAAGGAGAAATGAAGGCTGCAAAAAGGAGTCAGGGCTTGAGCTGAAACCTCAGGTAGGAATAAGGTTCAGATGGGCACTGTTTAGAGAGAACCTGAAAAGGGCCCAATAGTGAAAATCACCATAATGCATTTAGGAGAGACTAGCAAGACAGATCAGAATTTGAGGAAAAGCAGGAAAATGATGGACAGGTAAAATGAGATTTGATTTCAGAAGGCCTTGAAAATCAGGTGGAAGTATTTAAAGACGTCAGGTACTGGTCCAAGCACTCTACATGCATTATTGTATTAACTCCTCATTACAGTTTTATGAGGTGAGCTCTATTATGATCCCTATTTTTCAGATGAGGAACCTGAGGCATTAAGAATTTCAATAATTTGTACAGAGCCTGATATTCAGTAAAAAGAGTAGAGCCAAGATTTAGAGTGGTAGATGAGGTCACTTCTCTGGCTGCATTGGTTAAATGAAGAAGTCGGACTAAGTGGTCACTAAGACAACTTATAATTCTAACACTTAATGTGGAAATTAATAACAAATGATGTGTGAGTTGGGTGAAATTATAATTGAATGTTCTTTCCTTTTAAAATATATCTTTCTAAAAATAATGTCATTTATTCAATCAGTGGACATGGTGAAACAAGAAAAGATGCCATGATTAAACTAAGGTTTGTAAATTCATGAGTTTTTGCAGGTTAACAGAACAATGCCATGATATAAGATGGTGACCTGGTAGTAATGGGTAGAATAAATTCTAGAGGGGGTGAGGTTAAAATGAGAAAGAAGCACTAGAAGACTAATGAAATAATTTAGTACAATAGAGACCTCCTCTTGATACATGACCTTCTCGTGGCTTCCAAATTTCCACACTTGTCATGATCTGCTCCCCGACCAGTCTACTTACATTTTACCTCCCTGACCAATTATTTTACTCTCCATGGGTCTCTCTGCTCCAGCTACATTGGCCTCCTTGTTGTTTATCAGACATACCTGGTACACTTCTGAAAACCACAGGGCTTTTGCCCTAGATCCTTCTGCAGATGCTCTGCCTCCGGAGACCGTCCTTTAAGTCTCTGCTCAAATCTCACCTTCTAGATTTATTTATTTATTTATTTATTTGAGAGAGAGAGAGAGAGAGAGAGAGAGAAAGAGAGAGAGAAAGAGCGTGCACACAAGCAGGGGTGGGGGGGAGCAGCAGGCAGAGGGAGAAGTAGATTCCCTGCTGAGCAAGGAACCCAATGTAGGACTTGATCCCAGGACCCCAGGATCATGATCTGAGTGGAAGGCAGACACTTAACAACTGAGCCACCCAGGTGCCCCTCAAATCTCACCTTCTAGATGACTTCCTTGATCACCCAATTTAATACTCTGATCTATCTTCCATTCCCTCACTTTACACTTCTAATTCCTTCGACCATACTCTACTTCTTCCTTCCAAAGAACTTACCTTGTAACATACTAGATAATTTACTTATTTACTATGTTTGTTGTTTATTACAAATCTTTTATCATGGCATTTTGTTCACTTTGTTAATAACAGTGGTTCTCAAAGTATGGTCCCTGGACCATCAACATCAACATCACCTAGGAGCTTGCTGGAAATGTAAAATTCCAGGCCCTACTGCAGACCTAGTAAATCAAAAACTCTGATGGTAGGACACAACAATGTATTCAACCAGCATTCCAAGACACACACTCAAGGTTTAGAATCACTAGCCTGGAGCAATGCATAGCAGAGAGTAAGCGCACAATAATAGCTTTAAATAAATTTTAAAACCCTCTTTACCAGGTAATTTCCCTCTACCCACAGAAGAGGACACTCAGCAATTCTACTGTAACACAGTTGACTGCCCCAAGGTAAGTGCCTGACTCAAACTGGGTGTTTTATAGCCCCTTCTGCAAAGCAAGCCACCCAAAGTGTGGTTCTGCTGTTGAGGCTAAAGGCACTACATGTACCAGGAAAATTTGAGAGAAAATTTATTACTCACACAAAGGGCTCCCAGGAAGTGTTAGGAAGGCACAAGTAGGCCTGGGAAGGATTGGGCCTTGATTAGTGGCTGGAGGTGAGAAAGGATAGGAATAGGAAAAGTTCTGCCACCTGGGAGATTCAAATTTCTTGTTAGCATCAAAGGTGAGCTCACAGACCTCCTATCAGCCTGCCTGTGTATGGAACCAAAGGAAAAAAAGAAGGGTGAGGTTTAAAAACAACTCGGTGGTCAAACATCAAAAAAGACATCAGACCCATTTTATTTGGCGGGCCACTCAGAATCTCTTTCCTAGGAACCTAGAATCCAGATTAGGAGCCAGCCAGGCAGTTCTCTGTTTATATCTGAAATGGAGGTATATAAAAATGCAGGAGCTTCCATTTTTCCTTCAGAGATGGAGAAGTAAGGAAAGTCAGTCTTTAGAAGGAGAAAAAGAAGCTGATGTATAAAGAGAACCAAAGGTATGAGACCTACAGTCGCCTGGAGTCCACAGCTTTCCCAGAGCCTAACTACATTCCCCCAAGCCAGGTTGGTGCCCTTAACTTGGAATCGGAGTCCTAACTGAAACCATAAGTCAAAATTACCTAAATATAAGTTATTGTTGTGGTAATGAGATTGATAAAAAAGACAGTTCCAAGGAAGAAGAGATGAGATCTAGCAGAGAGCCTAGCACAAAATAAACAATAAATAATTAATCAATAAACACATGAATAGAGAGAGTAGCAATATTCAGTTAGAGGATGAGAGTAAAGAGAAGAGTTGAGACTTCTTAAAGAGCTTTAAAAATGGGATGACTATCTTTTACCTGGTAGATTTATTGCTTTTAATTTGGTCATAGACAAAAGGCCAATCTCTACTTATCAAAAAGTTTCAGTGAATTATTCATATATAAAGTGGAAAAAAAAAAGGATGAATTTCATTCTCCTTGCCACCATTGCTATGACTGACAAAGCATTCATGTCCCAGTATCAAACTCTACTGCCAATACTGATCATCAAGACCCACTGAGCAGCACCAACCCAGGCAGAGAAGAGATGGCAGTGACATAGGCTCTAAAAGAACTTGGCCCATGTTAGAAGTTGAATACATGAATTCCTTGAACCTAGACAAAGCAGTAGAAAGGTATGAGCTGGTTCAAGTGTCAGGCTTACCATCTGCTACCCAAGCAACCATGGGTTACTTAATTACATGACCTCCCTGAGACACTCTTTCTCAAATAAAATGGCAGGGGAAGGATTAAATTCATTTCAGTTTCCTCAACTAAAAAGATAATAATACCATCTCTTTGAGTTATTGTAATAAACATAATAATGAATCTTTAAACATCTGACACATAATGTTTTTTATTTTTTTTTTAAGATTTATTTATTTATTTATTTATTTGTCAGGGACAGAGGGAGAGAGAGCGAGCAAGCACAGGCAGACAGAGAGGCAGGCAGAGGCAGAGGGAGAAGCAGGCTCCCTGCCGAGCAAGGAGCCCGATGTGGGACTCGATCCCAGGACCCTGGGATCATGACCTGAGCCGAAGGCAGCCGCTTAACCAACTGAGCCACCCAGGCGTCCCCACATAATGTTTTTTAATTAAATGATACCTCCCATTTTTTTTCTCAATAAGCCACTGTGTCCATTCCCTATTCAACTAAGTAGTTCAATAACCCAGCAGTATATGACATTGGGTCTTCTATCCATTTTAAAGATAGGAAAATTGAGATCAAGTAATTTGCCTAAAATCTTAAAATCCTGCTCATAGGTTTCTAATTTTCTACATTCTATATTACATTATCTAGATACTCCTGACTAAAGGGGAAAAATAAAAACAAATGAAGAGATAAAGAGGGGGAAATTAGAAAATATATCATTCATAATGGTTCCTCAAACAACTTTCCAGATAATCTAAATTAATAGCTTTCTACATTAAGAGGAAACCTAATGACAATCCAACTGACTTTAAAATCCAACTGACTTTATTAAATGGCTATAGAATTACTTTGAGTTGAAAGTCCAACCTAAAATTCCAAGCCAAGTTAATCATAGGTATTTAGTGAAATGTCTCTATTCCTTACTATAAAATACATATGATAGTATTTTTAAAAAGATTTATTTATTTATTTGAGAGAGAGTGAGCAAGGTGAGGAGCAGAGGCAGAAGGAGAGGGACAAGCAGACTACCCGCTGAGCAAGGAGCTCAACACCAGGCTCAATCCCAAGAGCCCGATCGTGACCTGAGCCAAAACCAAGAGCCAGATGCTCAACTGTCTGAGCCACCAGGCACCCCATATGATATTTTTTAAAGAACTGAATTACCCTGAAACTAAAAACTAACCACTCTCATGAAAAATAGATTGCAATTCCAAAGGAAAGGTACATTTTCTTGCTAGAACTTAAAAGCTGAAACTTGAGCTGTAAATTAAGTTTTACTAAGTTTACTAAGTAAGAAAATTTTGCTTCAGTCACTTAACATTATGAGAATGCTCATATACTGTCACAAATGAATACAGTACTGCAAATATAGTATCAATAATGAAACATTGGCCATTACTTTATGACACTTCTCATTATTCCAGCAGAATAGCTTGGACTTCGTTTTATTAACTTTTCAATGAAAGTTCTGCCAAATGAAACCCAAAAGTCAAACCTCCCTGGAGAAAAATTAGGCCTTGATAAAATATTCGATTCCTCACTTTGAAATAACTCCATCACTGAAAATTAGGGAATATATTAGATTCCAAAGAAATAAAAACATCAGAAAACCATGAGCCAATATGACATGCTAAACCAATGCTAGACAAATCCTAGCAATTCTCTCAATTTAATTTTCTTTGAAAAATATGATAATATAAAATATCACTAAGATCTTAGCTTATTATTCTAATCAACTATTAAGAGAAAAATAATAGCACAATAGAAATGTGATATTATTTAAAATGGCCATCATCTCTAGAGCCCACAATAGGCTTAAAATTAAGATTCTTTAGACCTAGGTCAATGAGTCACCCTTTCTAGAGTCCTATTCACTGGTGATATGTTTTAAGACAGGCAATTATTTCAGCAAAAATGTTAATTCATGAGTATATTCATAATTGAAAACGCTAACAATATTTATTAAGTACCTACTGTGTGACAAGTGCACTGGTTAAACATCTGCCCTGCATAATTCCATTTAATACTCATAATACCTCTGGGAGGTAGCTACTATTACTGTTTCTACTTCATAGATGAAAGTTACTTGCTCAATATCACATGGCTAGTGTGAGCAGCTGGAACTTGAACTCATGTCTGTGTATCTTTAGTAACTCAGAAATTTCACTTCTATAAATCTCCCCCCCCACCAAAAAGTAATCACGGATGCAGGCGGAGATGCACATACTCAGATGTACATCACGGCTTTGCTTTTAATAGCAAAAGACTGGAAAATAATGAAATGCCTATCAGTAAAGATCACTAAGTAAACTACAATCTATCTGTAAGAAGCAGTATCATTAAAAGAGGCAATACCTTCAGAAGATGCAGCTCTTAAAAATTACACTGTGGAGGAATACTTACTGGAATGAAAAAATGTCAATTATATATTAAATGACATATCAAGATATAAAATAATATATATATCATGATTAGATTATATATTATACATAAATTCAAACACATGTGTATACACATGTATATTTAAAATGTATGTGTATATAAGTACATACACACACAGGCACATGCACACAAATGAAAAGATAGCTCTGGATCAGGGTTTCCCAATCTTGGCATTACTGACATTTTGGCCTGATCATTCTTTGTTATTGAGGGTTGTTGTCTGAATTGTAGGGTGCTTTTCAGCATCCCTGACCTCTACCCACTAGATGCCAGAAGCACCCTTTCAGGTTATGACAACCAAAAATGTCTCCCGACATTGACAAATGTCTCTTTGGTGCCAAAATTGCCCCAAGTTAAGAAGTGCTACTCCAGGGGCACCTGGGTGGCTCAGTGGGTTAGAGCCTCTGCCTTTGGCTCAGGTCATGATCCCAGGGTCCTGGGATCGAGCCCCACGTCATGCTCTCTGCTCCGCGGGAGCCTGCTTCCTCCTCTCTCTCTCTCTCTCTCTCTCTCTGCCTGCCTCTCTGCCTACTTGTGATTTCTGTCTGTCAAATAAATAAATAAAAATCTTAAAAAAAAAAAAAAAAGAAGTGATACTCCAGATGACAAGATAAATAGGTAACATTTATTTTCTTCTTTGTGTATTTCAGTATTTTCTAAATTTCTAAAATTAAATTTAAAATTAAATTTAAATATAAAATTAAAATTAAATTTAAAATTAAAATTAAATTTTTACAATAGCATTTTTTTCCTGGATACATTTGTAATAAAAAAAAAATACTGTTGTAAAAAATCAATCCCATTATAAAGAGAAGGAATGATAACTATTTTTATGAGACTAAACTGCAATAGTGGAAATACGTATTACAAGCTTTAGAATATCCACCGTGATTTTTTTCCCATTAGAAATTACTTAGTAACAGCTTAACAGAAAAAAACATAGAGGAAAAAATTAGCAGAAATCTCTTCTACCTGTGTCAAGAACATCCGAGCAGTAACAGCAGAAAGAGGTGGATAAACCAGAATTGGTTTAGTTGTCTCCCCAATAGCATCACCAATAAGCTTCCCATTAGAAGAATAAGCAGCAATTGCAAAGACATATTTTTCATTGGTTTCTAAACCTTTCACTTCAAAAATGCTTTTACCATCAGCTGGTATCTGTTAATAAAAACATATTTCAAGTTTATGTATGGAAAACTGAAGGAATGTGACTTTTTAAAAATTTAATTAAATAACCCTTATATGTAAAAAGTAAATAAAATAAAATAACACCTTTGTATTTACTGTTGATTTAAACTGAAATTAGAAAAATTCACTGAAATAATAACATTAGAAGAAGGTTAAAAAAAAACACTCAGATGTCATTAAGGAGACTTTTGGTAAGATTTCCTGACATTTAGAGGTTTTTTTAATTTGACATACCGCTTCTCCTGAGTTTGGGAGATGATTATTGTTCAGCCTAACTTTTCCATAGCTCCCTTCTGCTTTGCAGCCCAAAATGCAGTACCAGGAGACCTGCCAAGGACAGAGATGAACCCATCATCTCTAGTCTGTTTAACAAGACATTCAGTTTCTTTTATCAAGATGTGGCACTTGCTCTGATGAGCACCAGGTGTTGCATGGAGGCACTGAATCACTACATTGTACACCTGAAACTAACATTACACTGTATATCGACTAACTAGAATTTAAATAAAAACTTAAAAAACAGAAAAGATGTGGCAAAAGAAATACTTTTCCAGGGTGCCTGGGCGGCTCAGTGGGTTAAGCCTCTGCCTTCCGCTCAGGTCATGATCTCAGGGTCCTGGGATCGAGTCCCGCATCGGGCTCTCTGCTTGGCAGGGAGCCTGCTTCCTCCTCTCTCTCTCTGCCTGTCTCTCTGCCTGCTTGTGATCTCTCTCTGCCAAATAAATAAATAAAATCTTTAAAAAAAAATACTTTTCCAAATACAAATACAATTATTCAAGTTTTAAAACACAGAATCTAACTAATGATGTACTATATGTTGGCTAATTGAATTTAAATAAAATAAATTAAAAAACATGGAATCTAACTTTACAAATACACTTAGATTTAATCTCACAAAAATAAAGACAAATATACAGCTCATTTACCTGGGACTACAAAGACAATTCTTCATTTTTGATTATTTTAACTACCATTAACTGAGCAGTTTCTACGTGCTATGTGTTAGTGTGAAATTTACATAGACTTTCTAATATTTGCAATATCCCTATGAAATGAGATTATTGCTTTACAGGAAATGGAGACACAGAAATGTTCAATAACTTGCCCAAGATCAGATAGTAGCATGATATTTGATAATTCTTAACTATAGAAACCAAAAGCAAAATGCAAATTCTATAGGAACAATCAAACATAACTTAATTAAATGGTTAGAAATGGTTCTTCTGCCCAAGATGTCAAAATAATGGAGATTCCTCATTGGAATGTACCGTCTCACTGTAAGGGGAAAGGGAGCAAGTTGATACCTAAAGAATAACATTATAAAGGAGCCATACTGTCCTGAGGTTGGGGTTGAGTGGGACGTCATCATTGTCTCATTCTCTTTTCCCTAGAGTCTCCACCTACCAACATCTCAACACCTAAATGATAAGGAAAACTGTAAAGAAGGGAAAAAGTAATTGTCTCTAAGAAGCAACTGACTCTTATAGCTTAGCTTAGCTATTTCTTTCTCCAAGTCAACAGAAAAATCCTAATAGTGTCTTGTCTGCACAACTAGTTCTCAACCCTGACTGTGCAGAGTCACCTTTTAAAATACGGTTTTTACAGAACCAGCCATTTTCTAAAATTACGTATACCCAAGCCTGCCTAGTCTCAATGAATTAGAGTTTCTGGAACAGGTGTCCAAACCTTTGTGTCTATAAAGAAAATTGCTCAGGTAATTAAGGAGCACTTGACAAAGGTAGAACTCCAAGGACAGAGACACAGCACTGAAGGAACTCGAAAGCTGGAAGCCAAGAGGGGGGAAAAATCAGGAATTTCAGAAGAAATTTAAAAACTAACTTTCCATGCAAAAAGAGTAACATTTTACATAGAGGGGGGGAAAGGCAGAAAGATTGTACTATATGACTGAATTATTATTTTCTCTAAGTTAAGCTCCCTATATAAACCAGAATTTGAAGGGTAAAATTCTCTCTAAAAGCATTTTTAGAAGCAGGATTTATACTTCTATTTTGTTCCACAAATGAAGACATCTTAGTTTGTGTAACTATAAGGAGCAATGTGTAATTAGAATCTACATAAGAGTAAAGACACCATGAACAAATCACTCCTAACTTTAGAAGTAAAAGTTTATTAATAACATCAGCATTTTCAACTATTAAAACAGATTTTAACAAAACAAATGCTTTAACAAGAGCTTCTGATAAAACAAAAGATGGCTGAACCCTCTAATCAGAAACTTATTTAAGCCCACAGCACCATCTAGTGCTGAGGAGCATGTAACAGAAGGTAATAATTTCCTGAAGCACACAACTCAACTAATGCATAATATATATAAACTTCATATAATGTGCTAAATGACAGGTCCTACAACTATAAGTCAGATATGGAATACTTGTATCTTCCTATTTCTAAGCATTATGAAATAAGATAAACTAATCACTAATTTGAAATTTTTATAAAAGGAAGGAAGGAAGGAGGGAGGGAGGGAAGAAAGAAGAGAGGAAGGAAGGGAGGAAGGAAGAAAAAAAGAAAGAAAGAAGGAAAGAAAGGAAGGAAGGAGATCTGGTAAATAAACCAAAACATTTGAATAAGAACAAAGAAATTGGTAAGGCATCCAGTCTTAGTTCCATACTGAGTTTCCAAAATCAACAAATTAGCATTCTTAACCAGATCCAAGCAAATCTATAGTTGAACTTTAAAAATGCCAGCAATTGCAATAATGCATTTATGAGAGCACAGCTTGGTATAAGATGAATGGGTGTATTTCCCCAAATATAAAACATATAAAGACGGTATTACTTCTCACTGATGTCCATATCCCATTAGTCTGAAGCTCCTCAAAGAATGGAATCAAGTTTTGTGATTATTTTTTTTATCTCAATCACCTCACACAGAGCTGGACAAATAAGACATATTCAGTAATGTTCACAGGACAAAACTTATGAAAAAAAAATCTAATAATGTAATCACACTCTATAGCATCACTGTTTTAAGCAAACTTTACTACACATGTTTAATATAAGGTATGTGGGGAGATCAACCAAATGCCAGGAATATTACCTATTATCTAATTTTCACAGTTAACATATTTTGCAAAAAAAAAAAAAAACAATACCACCACCACCTCAAAAATCTATATTTAGATTTTCTAAAGTCATACTGACTTTAGTAAGTGGTGGAACTGGAATTTTAAAAAGTCTGTGCCCTTTTCACGATACCAAGTTGATAGAAGTTCAAGCAGAATATCCTAAAGACAAAGATAAAACTTTTTTATACTACATCAAAGAGCATGTTATTGTTCAACCAAAAGAGGAAATTTAATATTTAAAATATGAATCAGGCGGAACGCTTGTGAGGACACTAAATCTCAAGTTAGAGACACATTTAGGCCAAGTTCCGATGCACTGGGGATGGAAAAAAGAGTTCATTCTTCAATAAATACATAAAGATTAATAACTTATAATATGGTTGGATTTGTCATTTGTTTACATTAAAAGAATCTCCATTTACTTGGAAGAACTCTGGGAAGAACATCCAATTCGCTATCTGCAAATTTCTTCATCTCCATCATTGGCTCTGAGAGTAACTTCTGTGCTCTTCAAATGCCTTATTCCAGTACATCTGAGAACTTCTCTATCTTGAACACACTAGGATGTCAGCATAGGACTATGCCATGGTGACCAAACTATATAGTTGGGTATAGGAATACAGGAAAGCTATATAGACCATAAAGGAAAATAGCACAAAGAGGGAAAGGTTGTGAAGAAATTAAGTATAATTAAGACATTACAATATTAATCCCAATGTTCAGTACTTATTAATAAGACTAATAAAGTCTTAAGAGCAAGAAAAGTATCAATCATGATAATCATAAAAGTATTTATGTTGCTTTGCCTGAAATAAAGATCATAAAATGGGAAAAATACCTTAACATCTGAAATAAATGGAGCAGGTTTCAATGTCACAGAACAGTAAGTTCGGGATAGCAGGATAGGTGGAGGAGGAATTCTGCTTTTCTTTCTTTTCGAACTTTCCACATAGTTTTGATATGAATATAGGGTATTTTGTTCTGCTTCAGTCTTCTCAATTAAAGAATATGCTTCCTATAATAAAGTGTGAACACAGAAAAATACATTTCAGGATCTGAACTGCATTTATATTTGTAGAATTAAATGTTATGTTAAGGTAATGTTATGTTAAGGTAATGTTAAACAACATTATCTTGCTATATGTAACCTTCTGAGCCTCAGTGTTACACATACTGCAAGTGTCAAATGATTTTATAAAAGTAAAAAATAGCTACTAAATAAGACTAAGTAAAAAACAGCTATAAATTAAATAAGGTAATGGAATCATATTTATACATCTAATATGTTCATCATCATTATAATATATTAATATTAGATATTTCATTTTCATATCAAACCCTCTGAATATTTACCATCATATTTCACTGTCCTTAAAAATTTCATAGCATGATCATCTACATTTATACTAAAGAACTGTACACCTACCCTTAATGCAACTTGAAATGTGACTCTCAAGTAATAAGACTACTGGTATATGTGATTTATGAAATGAATATTATTGAAAGTTTCTTATTATCAGCAACTAGAAATAGAAATACTTATTCTGTAAACCTGAAAGAAAGGCAATCTACATTTTAAAAAGTAACATACTGAAGGACAAAACACAAAACAAAAAACATAAAAGTCAGAAGATCTGAATACTACCAAAGAAAGTCAAATACATCAGAAATAATAATGCATGTAAATGGGTTAAACTTGTCTTTTAAATTAAAAGGCAAAGACTCTTTAATTGAGCTCCACAGCAGAAATCCATATAAAGATTAAAATTAAATGGTAATAGAGAAAAAATAGCCTTTCCAAGAGATGATACTAAAACAATTAGATGTCCACATGCAAAAGTAATAAAGTTGTACCTTTACCTCACACTACATACAAATATTAACTAAAAATGAATTACAGACCTAAATGTAAGAGCTAAAATTATAAAATTTTTAAAAGGAAACATACAAGTAAATTTTCATAACTTTGGGTTAGGCAATGGTCTCTTAGCTATAACACCAGAAGGAAATATACATGCATACACATACAAGTAGATAAACTGAACTTCATCAAAATTAATATTTCAAACGATACCATCAAAAAAGTAAGAAAGACAACCAATAGAATGAGAGAAAATATCTGCAAGTCATGTATCTGATAAGGGACTTGTATTCAAAATATATAAAGAACTGTTACAAGTCAATAATAAAGACAACCCCATTAAAAAGGACAAAAGATTTGAAAAGATATTTCTCCAAGGAAGATATATAAATAGCCAATAAGTGCAAAAAAGATGCATAGCATCATTGACCATTTAGGGATGAAAATACAAAATCAGCAAGCTAATTCAAGAAGCAGAAAACATAATAAACTGAGAAAGATACTAAAAATTTCTTCCCACAACATCAGAACTAACTGATCTCATTTTTTAAAAATTTCAAATCTTAAAAACCTGATAATTCCTATGCCATTTAAAAATTTTCTAACTATGAAGAAAGAGAACTTCTCAAAAATATTACAAATTATTATAAGAAACTTGAAAAATAACTGCACATAAAAACATAGAGCACTCTTCTTACAAATATAAATGCAAACATTCTAAATAAAATACTAATACATTAAATCTAGCAATATATTAAAAGAATAACATACTGTAATTATATTCTCTCTCTCCCAAGAATGCATGGATAATTTAATATTAGGAAGTCTATAAATATGATTTAATTTTTCAATAAATCAAATAAGGAAAAATATGATTACAGTTTCAATTGAACTTAATCTTTAACAGTCATTACCAATTTTTTTTAAAAAAGAAGTAAAAACAGAAGTCAAAAAATCTTAAGACAAATAAAAATGGGAATACAATATAACAAACTCTATGGGATACAGCAAAAGCAATCCTAAGAAGGAAGTTTATAGTGCAAATGCTTACATTAAGAAAAAAGATAGATCTGGGGTGACTGGTTGGCACAATTAAGTGTCCGATTCTTGGTTTCTGCTCAGGTTGCAAGATTGAGCCCTTCCTCAAGCTCTGTGCTCAGCATGAAGTCTGCTTAAGATTCTCTCCCTCTGCTCTGCCCCTCCCCCTGCTCGCTCTCTCTCTTTCAAATAAAAATAAATATATATATTTTTAAAGAAATATCTGAAATAAACAATCTAACTTTATGCTGTAAGGGAACTAGAAAAAGAACAAAAAACTAAGCCCAAAATTAGTAGAAGGAAGGAAATAAGACAAATCAGAAGGTAAATAAATGAAATAGAGACCAGAAAGATGATAGAAAGGGTCAACTAAAATAAGAGCTGGGTTTTTGAAAAGATAAAACTGACAAATTTTTAGCTAGACTAAGAGAAAAAGAGAAGAGACTCAGATTAATAAAATCAGAAATGAAAGAGGAGACCTTACAACTGATACCACTGAAATACAAGGAATCAGAAGAGACTACTATGAACATTATACACTAACAAATTGGATAACGTAGAAGAAATTGATAAATAACTAGATACATACAATTTACCAAAACTGAATCATGGAAAAATAGCAAATAGGAACAAGCTAATAACAAGTAAGGAGATGAATCAGTAATCAAAAAACCTCCCAACAGGGCACGTGGGTGGCTCAGTGGGTTAAGCCTCTACCTTCGGCTCAGGTCATGATCTCAGGGTCAGGGGATCAAGTCCTGAATTGGGTTCCACACTCTCTCTGCCTGCCTCGCTGCCTACTTGTGATCTCTCTCTCTCTCTCTCTCTCTCTGTCAAATAAATAAATAAAATATTAATTTAAGAAAACCTCCCAATAAAGATAAGACCCAAATCAGATGATTCACTGGCGAATTCTAACAAAAATTTAAAACATTCATGCCAATCACTCTCAAACTCTTCTAAAAAAAAAAAAAATTAGAGAGAAAGGGACACTTCCAAATTGATTTAAGGGGCCAGCATGACCCTGATACCAAAGCCAGGCAAGACACTACAAGAAAAGAAAACTCAATATCCTTGATGAATACAGATGCAAAAATCGTCAACAAAATTAGAACAAACCACACGCAAAAGTACATTTAAAAAATCACACACCATGATACAGCAGGATTATTCTGGGGTGCAAGGATGGCTCAACATAAATGTGATACAAATTAATAGATGTGATACACCACATTCCCAAAATGAAGGATAAAAATAATATGATCATTTCAATAGATTCAGAAAAAGAATAAAATTCAACATCCTTTTATGATTAAAAAAAAAAAGACTCCACAAACTGGATATAGAAGGAACATACCTCAAAATAACAAAGGTCTTATATGACAAACCTAATGCTACATCATACTCAATGATAAAGGTTAAAAGCATTCCCACTAAGATCAGGAATAAGACAAGAGTGCCCACTCTTTTTTTCTTTTTTTAAAGATTTTATTTATTTATTTGACAGAGAGAGAGATCACAAGTAGGCAGAGAGTCAGGCAGAGAGAGGAGGAAGCAGGCTCTCCGCTGAGCAGAGAGCCCAATGCGGGGCTCGATCCCAGGACACTGAGATCATGACCTGAGCCGAAGGCAGCGGCTTAATCCACTGAGCCACCCAGGCGCCCCCGGAGTGCCCACTCTTAACACTCTTATCCAACATGGTACCAGACATCTTAGCCAAAGCAATCAGAAAAAGGTATACAAATAAAAAAGAAAGAAGAAAATTGTCTCTGTTTACAGATGACATGATTGTATATACAGAAAACTGTAAAGATTCCACCAAAACACTTCAGAACCAATAAACAAATTCAAAAAATTTGCAGGATCCAAAATCAATATATAAAAATCAGTTATATTTCTATACACTAACAACAAACAAGCCCCCCAAAATTAAGAAAATAATCCTATTTGTAATAGTATCAAAAATAAGAAAACGGGTATAAATTTAACCAAGGAGGTAATCTGTGCACTGAAAACTATAAAACATTTATGAAAAAAAATTTGAAGACAAAAATAAATGGAAATATAACCCATATTCATGGGTAGAAAGAATTAATATTGTTGAAATATCCCTACAACCCAAAATGGACCTACAAATTCAATGCAAGCTCTATCAAAATTTTGATAGCATTTTTCACATAAATAGAAAAAGCAATCCTAAAATTTGTTCAGAATGATAAAAGATCCAAATATCTAAAACAGACTTGAACAAGAAGAGCAACACTGGAGACATCACTTCATGATCTCAAACAAAGCTATAGTAATCAAATAGTAAGGGAAAAGAAAGGAAGGAAGGAAGGAAGAAAAAGAAAAGAAGACTGAAGGGGGGAGGGAAAGAGGGAGGGAGGAAAGAAGGAAAGAAAGGGGAAGAAAAGAAGGAAAGAAAGACCAATGGAATAGAACAGAGAGCCCAGAAATATGGTCAACTAATTTTTGACAAAGTCACCAAGAATATACAATGAGGACACAATAGTCTCTTCAATAAATGGTGTTGAGAAAAGTGGATATCCATATTCAAAAGAATGAAATCAGACCCTTATCTTACTGTACATAAAAATTAACTCAAAATGCATTAGAGACTTAAACATAAGACCTGAAACCATAAAACTCAGAGGAAAAAAAGCATAAAGGAAAACTCCTTAACATTGGTTTGGGTGATGATTTTTTGGATCTTACAGCAGAAGTACAGGCAACAAAAACAAAAATATATAAGCTAAAAACTTCTGCACAGCATAGGAAACAACCAACAAAATGAAAAGGCAACCTATGGAATTGGAGAAAATATATGTAAATCATACTTTCAATAAAAAGCTTGATATCCAAAATATATAAGTAAATCTTAATTTAATAGCAAACTATCAAATGATTTAAATATGGTCAAAAAACCTAAATAGAAATTTTTCTTAAAAAAAAAAAAAAAGAAGGGCGCCTGGGTGGCTCAGTGGGTTAAAGCCTCTGCCTTCGGCTCAGGTCATGATCTCAGGGTCCTGGGATCGAGCCCCGCGTCAGGCTCTCTGCTCAGCAGGGAGCCTGCTTCCCTTCCTCTCTCTCTCTGACTGCCTCTCTGCCTACTTGTG